AACCACAGATCATTGCTGAATTGTAATGTTATGCAATTTTGTACAGTAGCTAAGGTGATGGCATTTCTCTGCAGAAGAGATGAAGGATGTACTTGTAGTTTTAAGTACATTTTAGATAAATTTATATGAATAAATTTTAATTCATATTGGACATAATTTGCAACAGCTGTTGCTAATTAAAATGCTTCATAGAACCTTCCAGACAGTATGTGTATTTTGCTGAATTAAAAATCTATGCCTTTAAAAAAGAACAGAAAAATGAACATTAAATTTATACGAGGAAAAAAAGTGTTATAACAAGCTAGTTATAAAAATAGTCTTTCTTTATTTTTTTTTTATTTTTTCAAATATCTGAAATATTTCAGTTAGAGCATCCAAACTACTATGTATATGTGTATGTTTGAAAAATGTCACTGGCTCACAAGATGCCTAACTTTCTGTTATTTTTAGTAAATGCCTATGTACATTTCTGTAAAGGTAGAAGTTTTATCATAGAGGAAGATTAAATGGATACAGAAGCAGATGGCAGAGAGAAGTTTATCTCTCTCTATAAATAATAACTACTTTGTTTTCAGAAGTTCTGTGGTGATCTTTCCAAGTCTTCCTGCAGCATTGGGACTACACTGATTATCTATATTGAGAGCTTTATTCTCACAGCTAAAGTACCAGTTCTGTCTTGCCATGATACCCTTCAGGTGACCTTTTCCCTGACTTTCATATGATGCAAAAGGGAAGAAGCAGCAAGTTTCTGACGCCTCATGTATGGAATTTCTGTGTCCTAAATGACATGGATATTAACTCTGCCTCCACTAATAATGTTTTTAGGGACCTTTGAAGGGGAATGGTAATGGAGTTGGTTAATAGGCTCATATGAATCCCTAAGGCTTTGGAGTAATTCCATCTTCAATGGGTAGTGAGAGAGCAGCTACTTCCTCATTGCTGCCCTTAGGAAACTCAGAAGTGTATAATGTACTTAGGCAGGAGGCATATCCAGTATAAGATTTGGCCTTCATTGCCTTTTGAATAACTTTGCAGAAGGGGACAGAAAGTTAAGAGAAAAGGTGGTTTCAATGTAGATAGTCTGAATAAACATAATATGGACTTCCAACATGAGCCATTTATTCCTGAAAGGTTGACATACTTCTGACCCTAGCTTTCATATGTACTGTGTATTCTCTATACCTTTAATCTTTAAACTCACCTCTAAAAATCTCTTTGGATCAAATTAAGTTAGTTTCTTCCCCACAAGAGCTGCAACACAGCCCCAACAGCTTTACATTTTTGCAAATTTCACAGATAAAAATCACAAAAAGCCAAAATATGTTTTGATCTTTTCTCTCATAATCCTCATCTATTATCTCATATGCTCATATATATACACACACATATATATGGTAACATGCTGAGCTTTTGAAAAAGAAACAATAGAAGCAATGCGATAAAAGCAATACATACAATAAAAACAATAAAAGCAGTGTTATCTAAATGGTATGTGATAATGTATGTATTTTCTATGCTTTGACTTCATATTTGGTTATTGACTTCGTATTAGGTCAGAGGTTTGGTGGAAAGAGCATTACCACACCATTTCCACAAAATCATTGGATGTTAGGAAAAGTTTCTTCACTGAGGGTGGGGTGGAGTACGAGAACAGTCTCTCCAAGGATTTGTTCATGGCAGCAAGCCTGTCAGTGCTCAAGGAGCTTCTGGATAATGCTCTTAGTTACATGGTTTAATCTTAGGCAGTTCTGTGAGGAGCAGGGTTTTGAAGTCGATGATCCCTTTGAGTCTCTTTCAATTTGAGATATTCTGTGATTCTGTGGTTGAAGTTTGCCTTTGTATACTCTGACATGTAGGAGTCACTGGTATCAGAAGCTCTCAAATTACATGTAGCATGTGCCCTATGCTACAAATACAGGCTGTTTGTGTCAAGTAGGTAATATTGGAATATTGGCTTATTATTTCCAGCAAGTAGATAATTAAGAACCATCACATTTTTGATTGATACCTTATCTTTGATGATAGTTATAGCTCAGATCTAAGAGATAACAGAGATTAATAATCTTGGCACTGAGATAACAAGGTTTTTAGAAATTTCAGGAAAATAAGGCAAGTTTTCTCTGAGCCCTTTCATGGAAGAAGCATCTGTGGATGTTGAGCAGAGACCATACATAGCAGAGACACATACTTCCCAATAGGCATATGTATGTGCCCCAGCAGCATGCTCAGAGACCAGCTCCTTGAAAACACTAGGTTATTAAATACTTAGTGTGTCATGTTTGCCCAGGATGAGACGTGCTGTTGTGTCACAACATTCTCAAAGGAGAGCAAGTGGCTCAGGCACTGAGCAGGCCTGGCTGGGAGGCTGTTCCCCCCTGTGCAGCCTGGCAAGTGGGAGATGCAGCACAGAACCTCTTGCTGAGGAGCTGGGAGCGTGCGGCTCAGGGAAGAACAGAGGGGCTGCTGAACAACATGGGGAGCCCTGCAGAGCCCTGCCTGGGTCTCCCTGAAAGTGCTACATTTCTTAATGTGTCGCCGACATCTTTTCATAAAAATCCTTTCTTTAGGATTTTTCCCTCTTCTGGGAAGCTGAGGCCCCAGAAAAAGAATGTAAACAATGGTTATCTGCTGCTGTGGAATGCAACAGGTGCACCTGTGATTGCCCCATGTTGCATGTGTACAATTAAGGGCCAGTCAGAGACAGCTCTCTCTGGGACAGAATCAGAGAGAGCTTCTTTATTATTCTTTTCCTTTTCTATTCTTAGCTTGATAGCATTCTGAGATCTTTCCTTCTCTTTCTATTAGCATAGTCAAAATGTAACATATATATAATAAAATAATAAATCCAGCCTTCTGAACATGAGGTCAAGATTCTCGCCTCTCTCTTCACCCTGAAACCCTTGCAAGCCCCATAACATTAGTGGACTCCAGGAAAGCACTTAGATGGCAGATCCTGAATCTATTGGCAAGGGCTCCTTTTTGTCTTCTCCATTGAAGAAAGTGAATTGTTCTTGGTGGTATCTTGGCATAATGTAGGGTTTGCTTAAAGTTTAGAAGCATTTTGATCTTACTCTGGGAAGGTCAGGGCAGCAGCATACCTACATACTCTGGTCAGCTGAGGACCCCACCACAGCAGTCTGTCAGTTATAAAACACAGTTATCGTCTGATTTGTTGCAGATTAGACTGTATGTGCTGTTTGAGAGGGCTTAGGCTGTCATACAATAAAACATGATTTTCCCAAAAAATCAGCGAAAAAATGACTAAGATATTTTACACAAATTACTTTCTAGCATGAGCTCTTGGATGGAAAATTTATAAATTATTAGGAGTTCTATGCGTTTTCAAGGAAAAGGTTAATATATTGCTTGGTGAGCGATCTATTTTCACCAACTGACATTTATTCCATTTAAATTATTTCAATGACTGGGAGGAGACAACTAGTAAAATTTTTGGTCATAAGCATAATGTCATGTTTGAATTCATTTCCAAAGTATTTTTAAATCAGTTAATCAGTTTGATCTATTTTCACAGAAGGTGTGTCAAGAAATATGGTAATATTGAAAAAGGAATTAATGTTTTTTTGGGGCGGGGAAGTCTAGAAATAATTTCTTGCAGTGAAGGGAGTCAAGGTTATCTATGCTTTTTTTTCAACAAAGGGAAAGTATTCTTTTAGTGTCCATTATATTTCAGAAACACTGCATTAAGTTGCTAACCATATGATATGGAAGTGATCTAGGTCCAATAGAATGTTTGCAGAAATTTGACTAGGGAAAGAAGCATCTTGTACACATGAAGGTGAAATTATAAAAAGTAGGGGGATCCCTTTATTTGATTGGTATGATTGGTTGTAAAACTGATATATTACATATTTAGGGAGACTGTTTCAGGAAGGCAAACAATTATGTTTGATATGTATATTTTTGGGCCAGACATACCTTAAAGTCCATGAATATCAAAAGTGCCCCTTCCAGCATTGAAGCTATCTCATATTTTGACTTTGTGTGACAAAAGTAAATGTTTTTGTTTTGTCTATACGTTGCTGGAATGTATTACCTTCCCCTAGGCCTGAAGAATAAATTAACAAATTATATATCTGACACACAACACTCAGGTTGTGCTGGTGTAATTAAGACTGTGTGAGGTCTAGAGCATGATTTGGGATGGGGTTTTGGGTCATCTTGAAGAGAAACAAGGAGCAGAAGGCATGAAAATAGTAATCAAACCAAGCACACAAAAACATGAGAAATGTATTTTTGTCCATTATTAAGTTTAAATTTCCATCTGGTCCTCAGTAATTAGTGGCTTTGTAAAAAAAAAGTATAGACTTGCATGTTGTTGTTATCATCAAGACTTTATAGTCTTAGATGTATAAAGCAGAACACTTCAGTGATCAATTCAAAGAAACAGACTTCAAAACAGAGCTGAAAGCTGCAAAGCCTGTTTACTGCAGCATTATATTTTTGAAAAAATATAAGTTGCCTAGCTAGTTTTGAAGAAATTGTTATTGTGGTCGTCAGGAAAACCAAACATTTAAACTGGAAAAACAGTTTGGTTGTTACATTCCTATTAACTGCTAGGTTAATAAAAATGCTAGTTCTTTTGTGTCCTTTACAAACTGCAGGACAGGAAATTCAAGGAACCTGTAAATATGAGAAGGTCGCCTCTCTGTTTAAATGACTGTTTAAAAGCAGATTTTGTTCCTGGAGATTAAAACTTTTAGTATTGAATCTCAGGAAAAAAAAAATTCCTGTAAATGACCAAAATTTATTCAAGATCTCTTTCTTAGTATTGAAGTGAATTAATGGATTTCCTTATATATTACTGGCTAAATTGAACAGTGAACGTCTAAACTAAGTTGTGAAATTATGATGTGTAGGTCCCACATTTAGTTGTCTGTACTAAATCTACTGCTGCTGTAACCATTTTTGTTACATTTCTCTCAGATAAATCAGAATCTGAATTAATCTCACCTGAATTAATCTGATTGGGTTAATCTCACCTGATTTCAACTACCTGAAAGTGAGCTCTTTGATTGAAGGTGGCCACATAAGTCTCTTGTAGTTAATGAAAGAGAGAAATAGCTTCCTCTGATGATCATCCCCGGTGATCAAAGATGGGCTAGGCAGTAGGCATTCTTCTTGGAAGTCTTCTCTCTTCTCTTAATGAAGAGGAATTTTGATGTTGAATTTATACTGAAATATTAACTTTCAGATGAATTCCACTTCATAAATGCAGAATCTGCTCTTCACTTTCTATGAGGAATGTGCAGTTTAACAAAAGATATTTCCTAGTACTGGCATCTTCTTGCATCCTGAAAGCAAGTTTTTAGTAATTGGTGTTCTGTGACTGACACAACACTTCATTTTTGTTTGGAACTACCTGAATTAGCTATGAAGAAAGAATTATACAATACTTTTTACTTGAAAGTTCCATGGTAATGTTCCAATTTACCATTTTTAGTGGAAGATAATAAAGAACCACTTTTGATACTTTAGAATATATTAGAATTCCATGGCAACCTAAGATTATAAATGTCTGGCTAATTATTTTTGCTGAGAAGTAAAGATCAAAAATTGAGTGACTGAATAAAAATTAAGATAATATCTATTGAGACAAACACATAGAAGAATTAAGGAAAGAATTTTTACTTTACCATGTTGCTTTGATCCAAGAATTACAGAAATGTTCAGAAATTCTTTTAATTTCTTCTCTCCTTTTCTGTAAAATATGACCATATAATTAAAAGATGTAGGTATATATATGATATACTTATATATTTGTAAGTACTTATTTTTGTGTATAAGCTGCTTGGTTTCTTTGTGTACCTGCATGTGCATACATTATCCAGTTGGGCAACTAAGTTACATTTTACAGGCAGAATAAAGAACAATCCTTCTCCAAGAAAGCTGAATGTAAACTCTGGGCATCATAACTGAAAAAATCACAGGGGGCGATAAACAGCTAGAAAAGTGTTGAAAACAGTAATTTCACGATCTTATTTCTACATCCATATTGTTTTCAGGGATCCTGTAGAGATTGCTTTACAAAATACAGTGTTTCCATCAGAAGTTTGTTTAACTCCTGCTGAACTCTGTGGGAATTCCATATAAGAAAGTATAGTGGAAGAATTTATCAGTACAGTAATGATGGGATGTCTAGGGGGTCTGCAGATATATCTGAATATTTGCTAATAGCACAGAGAGAAACTGGCTTCATAAGAAAACTTTAAAGGAGCCAGAAGAGACAGTAGGCTTCTGCTTAAGCCACATAATCAGTTACATACTGATAATACTGAGTAGAAGAAAATATGCCAATCAAATAAAAACAAGAAAAAAGAAATAGGAATACTTTTGATTTGAAAACAAATTGCGTAAGAGACTCAGAAGAATGCTAGAAGAGACAAAATTAATTTCCTGAAATGTATTTCCTAATTGCAAAAGAAATCAGGAAAGATACAGACTGAATTTACTGCCTCAGAGTCCCCAGTATGGTATTTTTCTATATTTTTATGCCTCTTTTTATTTTCAGTACTTTTATAAATTTAAATTCAATGACTGGTAATACAGTTGAATTTGTAAATCAATTATTTAGGCATCAGTAGTGAACATGGTTTGAGGCACTGTAGTTTTCATGATTCATTGTGCATAATTTTATGCATAATAAATTATTTGTTGCTTTTTTCCTTTTCATATCTGTAGTGTAAAGCAAATGAGTTATTTTTAGTCACAGCCAACTTACGTTGCAACTGGCTATTTACCTGAATTTTGCTTAACTGCCAATCTGTTAACAGAAAAAAATATAGCATCCTGCAGATTGTACATCTCAGAGGACTTAGAGATATTGATTTTTTAGTTTGTGACATACTTCACCGTAATGCCATTTAATCTAATATCATTCTCCATTCCTTCCCCCCCTCTTAAACTTGAATATTACTCTTTATTAGTGCCACTTTGCCATTTTCTGTGTCTGTGATATGTGCTTTCTTTTCCTGAGAAGTAGTCTATGAAAACATTATTAACTTTTTGAGCACCAGTTTCAAAAAATAATTATTGTAAAATGCTGTTCTGTGAGGGGGAGCTATTGGAGAGGGAAAATGATGCTTATTACTCAGTCATCTACCAAAACACACATTTTCAGAGAATGTTCCAAGACCTGAAGCAATGTACTTGGACAGAGCTCTCCTGTGCAATAATACTAATAAACTTACACTTGTCAGTTTTATTAGTATTCATTTGCAGTTTCCTTTCTTTTAAGGATTTTTGCCTCCTGGTCAGAGTGGCACCTAGAGCTGAGTTCAATTTATTGGATTGCAGTGTGTCTGTCATGTTGTGTAATAATTAGGAAAAACGAACAAGCTGGATTGCTTTACTAATCATAGGGTGTAGCTGTAATTAAGCCAAATAAAACTGCATGCTTACTACAACTCAGAAGACTAAAAAAAGTTCTGTGATAAGTAGTCCTAGATGGAAACATGATCTATTGCACCCTTTGGATATGGTCTGAATAGTTATTTTCCTTTTCAGCCTTTCTCTGTCAGACTAGGTGAAACCTCATTCATTCAAATTAACTGCAAGGTATTCTAGAAAATCCAAAGGCATGTTTTCCTCAGGGAATTTACTGTTTTATCATTTTGTGCAAGAGGTGAAATCATCAGGTCTGGGCAAGAAAAAAACTATTCAAGTGGAGTCTTGAGGTCAGGAATATCCAGGCAACTCTGCCAACACAGGCAACACAGCAGTCCATGACCAGATGGGGGCAAACCGAAGAATTAGCTGTGGAGTGAACTTCAGCCTGTGGTCGACTGAATTGCTGTCTAGGCACTGGAGCTACAGAAACCATAATGGGATCTCAGACACCTGGAGTTAGATATCTCAATGTATAAGGAGATACCAGGTTAATAGCACATTCATTGCAATTCATAAACAAACAAGTTAATAAACAACTAAATAAATTAACTTTTTTCCTTTTCTTACATTTCTGTATAATTTCTAATAACAAAATAAAATGCAGACCCATATATGTATTCTTTTGCAGCTGATATTCTCTCACAACTCACTGGAATTCAGAGTATTTGGTACTTCAGGAAGAGCAACAAATTTCTTGACACTTATTAGTGAAAAAAAAGAAAAACAATTGTTTTTATGCTTGTGTAGGTGCAAGTGTGGCAGAAGAGCTATAGATTTATCCTGTTGTCAGATTCATTGGCGGTATTCAGTCATCTTTCCTCAGTCCATCTATGTTCAATGCATTCTTCCCTTCAGAAGCCATTTCTAGTAGCTTAGAAATGTCTGGGCAGTCTTTGTAATGGGAACAAATATGAAGATCCAAAAGCTGTGCTGTCCTAGGTCAGTCTGAAAGTGTAATGCAGATTGCCAAACTTTAATGCACTCTTACTAGGTATACAAAACCAAGATTTGATAAAAGACATTTTGTGAGATTCTCATTCAGCTGGACTAGTAATAATATTAAAGCAGTAGTCAATTAAAGCTATTACTTAATCCAAAGAGATTTCTTCATGCAATTTAAGCAAGTATATTGCCTTGTACAACAATACAGGAGTTTTTCAATGTGTTAGTCATATCAAAATTATAGTAGTTATTCATACTGTCTCTGCCATTGATATGTAATTTATACTTGGTCTCTTCTTGCTTTCCAGATCTCCCAGCAAGGACATGGCATCAAATGAAAGAGAGATTGTGGTTTGGGTTTGCCAGGAGGAGAAGATTGTATGTGGCCTGACAAAGCGCACAACTTGCTCAGAGGTGATTCAAGCACTGCTTGAGGAGCATCAGACAACATTTGGAGAGAAAAAGGTCCTTTTTGGAAAACCTAGTGATTACTGCATTGTAGAAAAATGGAGAGGCTCGGAGCGAGTGCTGCCTCCCTTGACAAAGATTCTGAGACTCTGGAAGGCCTGGGGGGAAGAGCAGGCTAATTTGCATTTTGTATTGGTAAAGTCAGATGCTTTCCTCTCGTTTCCATTGTGGAAGACAGCTGAAGCCAAGGTAGTACAAAATGTAGAAAAGCAGTGGGACCTCAGTCCAGCAAACTACATGAAGATGTTGCCAATAGACAAGCAAAAGAAAATTGTGAGGAAGACTTTCCGGAAACTGGCCAAGCTTAAGCAGGACAGTGTTCAGCAAGAGAGAGATAATATGGAGACACTGATTCATCTGATCATTTCTCAAGATCATACCATTCATCAGCAAGTCCTTAGAATGAAGGAACTAGACATGGAAATTGAAAAATGTGAAGCAAAATTCCATCTAGATCGTGTGGCAAATGATGGAGAAAATTATGTGCAGGACTCGTATTTAATGATCAATACAAGTGAGACTGAGCAGCAGGGGAGTAGGCCAGATGATCAAAAAGAGATGCATGACTATTTGAGCAAAAGTGAGGGAATTTTACAGGTTGAAGAGAGACTGAAACACCACAAACAATTAATAGAGAGCCTGTGTGCTGAAATTGAAAGAGAAGTACATGGTATATGCATGGAAAAAAACGGAGAGTCTGTTCACACAGAAGGAGCAGCTAATGCTGAACTGGAAAGCTCAGATTTGGAAAGTGTAAAATACGAGCTGGAAAAAAGTATGAAAGATGGTCTGAGAATCAACTCATACCTGAGCTGCATTCAGAAAGAACTTACATACAGGGACTCACTGCTTCAAAAGAAGGAAAAAGAATATGAACTTCTTACAGAAGAATTTAATTTACTACATGTTAAGGACAACATTGAAACTAGGCTTCAGTCAAATGAAGAGCCATCCAAGGGCAGTGGCATCTCCAGTAACAGCATTGCTGTTCCTGACTTTGTTCATAGACTGACTAATCTGGACATAAACGATACAGACTCTGACACTGGAATCAGCTCTACACACAGTCAGGACTCTGAAATAACTGCAGGGGACATGGTGCTGTTGTCAACATAGTTGAAAGCAGTTACACATTTTTTTAAATTTTATTTTGGAGGATATTTATAAGAATTAGTAAACCTGTTGTCTTGAAAGTTAAGCTCTTCAAGGTATTAAAGCTGTGACACTGCTTTAGCAAAGTAAAGGGTGTCTATTTATGTCCTTAATAGTGTACTTGTGCTAGAATGCTATGTGGTAGAATGGGTTAACTGGTAAAAGATGAAAGTTGTTGACTTTGCTACATCAAGACAGACTGTTTCGACTTTGTAATGTTGATACTTGGTGAAATGGGAGCATTCTGACTTTCTTGGACCAAAAGTTTGGAGATTTCGTATTCTTCGGTCTTTGGGTCTGTTCCTGCATCTCCCTAACTTTTTAGGAACGTAGAGACTAGAGACCTAGACCAAGAGCTTGATTTTCTGCTCTGTTACATTAGCTTTATACAGATGGAGTTCCTTGCTATGAAGCTGCTGTAAAAGATTTTATAATTGAGCATTTAATCTATTAAAAATAGTTTTTATGATAATGTAGAACAGAAGAAATATAATTGCATTTATGCTGTGTTTTTAAATTTAGTTTATACATAATATCAGGATGATATTTTTAAAAACTCCTAGGTCCCATTTTAAAAGTTACCTTCCACATATGGGTTTTTAATTTTGATTCTCTTTCAGCAGCTTTTATCTGCTTTTAAAAGCCTTAAACCCCCTACTCATCTGTTGTTACCCTGTAGTTGCCCCAGTGATGTTTAAGTCCACAGAGTTCCTGCCAGCAGGCATGTCAGGACTGCTTATGTCCTGCTTA